TTCTACGTGTCTGGGGCACGATAAAATCAGTGGAGCACCATGTTTTGCGAAAAAAGTGCCCAAAATGACACACCCTAATGGACGTGTTCCCCAAAAACCAAAAGGGATGAAGTAAGTGAGGCATCAAAGCACAATAAAATGCTGCCAGATACAGGTTTACGAATACCAATCTGATGTCAGCTTCACAATTCCATTGCAAATGGCATGTTTATCTGCGCAGGATATGTCGAAAATTTTCACGCATTGCGACAATGCAAGATTTAAACGAAAGAAAGGTAAGATAATTATGACGTTTATGTAAAAAAGTAGTGTAGCTTAGGCTTAATTTCTACGCATTTATTCGAAAAGGTTGTTTACGCCATCAGAATTAGGATTAATCAAGAATCTTGGTCATGAGAAATCATTTCTTTCATTATCAACGTTATTTATATATCTGACGTCAATCAAACTTCTTTTATGCTTGATATCTGAAATATCAATTCCTTGTCCTTGACTAAGCTTGCGAAAAGAAATTTATAGACGTTCATGATAAATAAGGGCCCTGTTTCACCGGTGATAGCAGCAAGCTACTATCAAATTGCGCGAGCTGACGTAATGTGATGACGTCATACTGCTGACGTAAGGGGCAATTCTGGCGCACGATTGCCGCAATATTGTTTTACGTCATCAGCTAAATGTTCGAAGTTAATGTCAAAATTTTTCCTAAACCAAACTTCTTTTAAATACATCATATTGAAAAAAATATATATCAAAAATATATATACTATCATGACTGCGTAAACTCTTACTTTTAGGCTCATACGTCACTTAATGCCGCCGCCAAGGTCGCGGCAATCGTGCGCCGGAACTACCCATTACGACAACAGTATGGCGTCACGACATGACGTCAGCTCGCGAAACGTGATAGCAGCTTGCTGCTATCACCGGTGAAACAGGGCCAAGGGCCCTGTTTCACCGGTGATAGCAGCAAGCTACTATCAAATTGCGCGAGCTGACGTAATGTGATGACGTCATACTGCTGACGTAAGGGGCAATTCTGGCGCACGATTGCCGCAATATTGTTTTACGTCATCAGCTAAATGTTCGAAGTTAATGTCCAAATTTTTCCTAAACCCAACTTCTTTTAAATACATCATATTGAAAAAATATATATCAAAAATATATATACTATCATGACTGCGTAAACTCTTACTTTTAGGCTCATACGTCACTTAATGCCGCCGCCAAGGTCGCGGCAATCGTGCGCCGGAACTACCCATTACGACAACAGTATGGCGTCACGACATGACGTCAGCTCGCGAAACGTGATAGCAGCTTGCTGCTATCACCGGTGAAACAGGGCCCAGGCTCTCTCTATCGTCTGGATAAAAATAGGCCCCGCCCATCCCAATCAGCTGCTGCATGACGAGTTGATGACGACAACCACTACTTACCAGCAACCGATCTAGGGATAGCGTACGTGACAGTAATGGTGCAGCGGTTGCAAAATATTACATTGTTATTCAAACGGGCCCCCAAGTTTAACCCATCTGTGTTTGATTGTATTTGTATTGAGATATGTGATTAGATAAGGGGTGTTGATTAAGGCAGGTATTTTTTGAAATATTTTTTTTGACAATTTTTTGCCCTTTTTCTACTTAATAGCTGAACCCGGAACCACCTGAAGTCTAAACCTTATTTTAGATAACATGTCAATGCTGATGCTGTCTTGAAATGTGGAATTTAGACAATCAAATGGTAATAGGAATAATGAATAGCAATTTTACTAACAACTTGTTAACTCTAGGAAGCGCAACTAAAATTAAAATCACTGTCTGCCACACTGCTCCGATCCTGGTCATGCAACCAATATTCGTGGGTGGTGTTTCACGGCAGAGCACTGCAGTGCGCTGCGTGTGTCGGAGCATTGGGTTTCCATGGCAGTGTCAACAAACTTCACTCTGACGCTAAGCTATGACAGCATCCCAGATGACCCAGAACGCTAGCACGCTGCGGCGCCAGCGCCAGCAGCATGCTAGCAGTATTTGAACTCAAACCTCTGTTCTTGGTACTTGGTTTTTCAGGACCTCTCACTCTGTTCCAAATGCGATTCATCATAAACTAAGATATCACATGCAACGTCATTTGAGTGACGCTATGGTATGCCGTAGCTACCAGTGCACACAGTGTCTGGGTGGTGAAACAGGGCCATTATTAATCACATTTGCTTTGCTTTGTTTCAGCGGAAACCTGTCTGCACATGGGAGGAGCGCAACAAAAGCCCATCAAGTTCATGCATGGCAGTGGATCTCAACAGGAGAAAACCAGAAAGAACATAGGTGCTTAAAGATTGCAGTTGTACACTGCTGTTATCAACTGATGTGAGTGGCTGGCATTGCTCCTGGCAAGAACCACCTGCAAGTGATGAGATGGCGCCTCAGTTGTTGAGTGTGCTGCAGTGTGAGAGGCGCCCTGATCTCTACTTTGTGATGGGTTTCCATTGGAGGTTTAACTGAGAAGTGACAACTGACTGTGACCATGCTGGAGCATGTCAGTGGAGCTTTACATGCTTAGGGCAGCTTTTGAACAGATGCTGACCATGGCACGTCCCATCCAGTTATCACGTGCACAGAATGGTGGGGGAGGGCAACTCTGGGCTCTTGAGTCAGCCCTACTGCACAGGGGGTACAGATGGCCGCTTACGTTTGGTGTGTCCTGCACTGCATTATCAAGTCCAGTCTGCTGCCACAGGCAATGGGTCGGGCTGCACTATATAAAAGGCAGACTATCTTGCAAAGGAGGCTGGCATCCTCTCCCATAATGACACACCAATTGGCAATAACCGCTGCGATGATCACGAGAGTGTCCGCTTATCTGTCATGGTGAGGTGGAGAGCCAGCTGGCCTGAGGGATGGTTTTACTTCATCTGAGGCCCCCTTTCCCTGCCTGCCAGGCCCGGTCAAACGACCGCTTCACAGTGAACGACTTGCAGTGGATACCGTGCCGTCCCACAGCGCAACGAGCGCGCCGACCAGAGGCGGCGGCCAAGAGGCGGCCGCGCTCCCCCAGTCGACGGTCCCGGTGGACGTCGGCAACGCCCACCGCGCGACCATCAGATCGGCTCGCGACCGCGCCGTCGCCGACTGACCGCATGACTGGTATCTGTTCATATGAGGGACCGACTGCCACCGCCGGTCGCGGAAGGGCATCGCTCATCGGCCATTGACGTCCACCAGCTTCGCGTGGGTCACTGTTCGGGCTGCCACCAATGCACCGAATCGGATGGAACCCTGTCGGCGAATGCCAGCGGTGCCCCGACATCGACTGCGCGGCGGCCAGACGCCAGTGCATCGCGTGCCGGGAGGAGGCTGGCACCCCCGATCGGTCATCGGTCACAAACCGTGTCCCAGCTCATGACTGCATCCAGCGAAGCTCTTTGAGATGTTCTGCTGCAGTCTGCCGCGTGTGTTGAAAGAAGAATGAACATGAGAAAACCTCAAAACTTTATGCCCTATTAGTATTTGACCAGTATTGGAATAAGTTTGGATTTTGAGAATTTGTGTCCCTGTGCTTGTGCCTGTGTGGAAAGGCATGCTTTACGGTGTACCATCTCAATTTGTGCGGCTGCTGACAAGCCACCTGGGTGCCAACGTATGTGCGAATCCGCGAATACGTTGTGTTTCGTCAGTCGGTATCGTTCTGAAAATATTGACTGCAATAGGTTATATAGCGTATGACGGTTCAGCCCAGCAGTAATAACTGACCATTGATTGGGCGAATTTTGTGTGGTGGTTCGCTAATACATAACCTAAAGAGTGTTTTGCCGGAATCGTTTAGTAGCAGAACTGACCGGAATATAAGTAGAATGCAACGGTTTGAATAGTGAATTTGTTGAAATGATTGTTCTCTGAGACCACTGTGTAACTTTTGACCTGAGAACCACCAATTATAACGACAATGGTGGAAGCATTAGGCACTGTAGGCAGCACTAGTTGGCACACTTACGCAAGCACACGACTTACGCAGTGGACATCTGCATCATGCATGTTAAGGTATACTGGGAAGAGTGAGAAATTAGTCGGAATATAAGTGACTAAGGAAAATAGGCTATATTTCCCATTGAGCTGGGGCGGGAAGGGGAGGGGACTATGGTCAGCTATGCCAATAATTCATTCTCGTTATGCAGCTGTGTAAAAGGGCGTCCGTTTTTTTTTTGGTGAGACCTTCCCCATTGGCCATTTCCAAGCTAAATCGTGGTGGAGATTCTGGAGACCTCAGCCTCGCTACCCTGCGCGCTGCGCCACCTTGCGAAACATAAAGCAGCAGTCCTGACATCTACAGGGCTTACTTTTCATGAAAGCGCGGATGTGTTCGCGCTTATGCGAAGAAAATTCTTCCGAGTATGGTTGATAATGAGATTAATTGTTGTCATTTATTTATTAATTCATTGGCAAAAGTACCCTAATAAATCGGTAAAGTAGCTTAAACTGTATCGTATTTCCTTGGGAAAAAATGACGAACTCATCCTAAGACATCCAGATTATTGGATGCGTTCGTCAGTTGTAAGTAGTTCAAGTTTTTGGAAAAATTTGCTTGTGGAAAATCATAATATTTCAAAGATATGCCTATTTTTGAATAATTTATGCATTTATCTGCATTGAAAAATGATTGTAAAGCAAAAGTGCAAAAGATTATTGTCAATTTATTTTCTCAAATCACAGTTTACGAACGCACAAAACTCCAGCTTTTAATTTAGTGCGTGTGCGAATTGCGGTCAAGAAAAAAGATTTAAACTGTCTATATTCCTCTTAAAACAATGAAGGATGAATGAGGAAAATGCTGTTTTGAGCAATTGTATATTTATTTTTTCTCAATTAAGCAAAAGTACAAAATTTTCAACTATTATTACATTTGCTCTCACAAAACCCATCACTTTTAAGCATGACGTCATGTCAGCCAAACTTACTAGCGCCATCTCTGGAGAGCATCTTTCGAAACCTCCAGACGATAGAGAGAGCCATAAATAACATGTGATAGTTCAAAATCAATATCGACGGGGATTAATACACTTTGGTCACTCTAGTTGTTACTACTTGCTACGCATGCAATTTATATGGTGGTTCTACAAAAAGGTAGTTTAATTACAGCTGCAATTGATCTTGTTCTTGCTTCAAAGCAAGGTGAAGGGCCCGTGAATCGACAATGTCAATGTGTGCTTCATCGTCAGTTCTAGATCAAGTTAACACATTGTTCTGATGCTGGCTTTAAACATTTAAATAATTGATATCATTGTGGCATAAGACCACTATTTCATCTTTAGATATTAATGTCACTGATTGCTTATCATGGAAATGCAAAATCAATGAGTCAGAGTGGCACTTGTTATCGGATCATCTGCACCAAATTTAAATGTGGATTGTTTGGATCTGTGTTGTTAGCTGTATGCTTCATAACCTGGGTGACATCAGCCACCCTTTCTCAGTCAAACCATGGATGGGGACCAGACTGGAAAAAGCACATGCTATGCCGAATATTTCCGGCATGGCGGTACTTATTGCGGCAAAAATTTCACCTCGCGTCTGGCACAACTTTGCATGCACCAAATCCAGCACATGGCGGCCACTGAATTTGTCAGCGCAGGGCGGCTGCATAATTTTTCGGCGCATGGAAGTCACTGAATTTTGACAAGCCAGTCAATCTAGGAGCAGTTTCACCCTGTGGGTGGCTCTGGAGACGGTTTGGAATGAGATGTCCCTCACCCCGGTTGTTGCGTGCTCTGACTCGCAAACTGTTCTGAGTCAATTCAGCGGAGGAGCTTCCGCCCTACAGGTGATGCCTTCACCCTCGGTGCAGAGATGGGCATGGAAGACCTTGTTGAACATGGCCGAGCATTGTGAAGTAATCTTGCAGTGAGTTCCAGGCTCCTGCTCACTGTGGGATCGATGGGATTAAGAGCGCTGCCGCTGACGACCTGGTGAGACAAGCGACTGCCCTGCCATCGGACGCCAGCTCTCTGACCTGGGCCCTGTTTCACCGGTGATTATGAAATTCAAATTGCGCGAGCTGACGTAATATGATGACGTTATACTGCTGACGTAGGCGACAATTCTGGCACACAATTGCAGCAATATTGTTTGATATCATCGGTCATCAACTAAATGTTCGAAGCTTATGTCCAAATTTTCCTTAAACCAAACTTCTTTTAAATGCATTATATTAAGAAATATATTCAAGCAGCGTGCTGCTATCACCGGTGAAACAGGGCCCTGGGGAGTTCATTGTGCGGCCACGCGTCAATGGCGTAACAACTTGTCCGAGTCACTATTCAAGCCACTCCTCGGGAGCACCCCGCCGCTCCCTATCCCCGGAGAGGACCGAGAAGACGCCGTTTCGGTGCACCAGATGAGGGCGGGCCACTGGGACCGCTCGGCGCTCGCTCCATTATGTGCATTGAATCGGCCGTCTCCTCTCCGCGGCATGCCAGCAGTGGCCGAACAAGCGGTGCCCTGTGGCTCTCTGCGCCGTGTGCCAAGAAGAGGGTGATTTGTCGGAGCACGTGCTGCTCCGCTGCCTGACCCTTGTTGGTGCCCTCCAGTCTCGAACACATAACTCCGCAAATTTTTGTGGCCCTGAAACTTCCGTCTGGGCATTGTTTCACGGCACGACGCTACGGTACGCATTACGCGTATTGTGGAATTGAATTTCCATAGAAACATCAACTAATTCAAACGTTTAAACCCGGAATGCTCTGCCTGGTTGATATAGGCTTGGCTGGTAGATGTGCACACAAGCTTTATGTAAAAGTGGCTTAATTTTGGCGCAAATAGACACCCAACTTTCAGCTCAAATCATGCAGAAATTTCATCGCAAAATCGCTTGCGCCGAATTTCGGCGCATGAGGGTCTCACGGGTGTCCGGCGTAGTGTGTGGATGTGTTCCAGTCTGGGATGGGGATACTGCTGAATAGGTACTAGTACCTACTAGTGAAACTAGTACTAGTACTAGGTACTAGTGAAAATGCTGATTTTACATCATCGCTTGTCTGTTACTGTTTTCCAGAATCATGGTGGCCGATCCGATAGGTGCCTACCTGCAGAGCTCTCTGTCCAAGCACAGCAGCAATGGAGGGCAGCAGGCGGCCATACTGCAGTCCAAACTGCAGGTCAGTAGTGGTAGCAGTAGCAGTAGCTGCACTAGCAAGTAGCAGGTAGCATCAGTAGCAGAATTCGTAGCAGTATCCATGTTCGTTATCAGTGGTTGCTGAAGGTTTTAACTTTGTGCCGTTTATTCTACGTCAATAATTGACCAACCCCAGCAAAATTGGCTCACTGCCCCGTCTGTTCCAGGCGTCTGCGAAGCGCGCGCTGCTCACCCGAGTTGAGTTTGAGCCAGCCGAGAAGCAGCACAGCCACATGTTGCAGACGCTGCAGAACAAGTACATCGTGCTTGGGGAGCGGGACTACGCGGCGCAGGGCGCCAACGGAGCGGCCAACGGTGCCGCCAACGGAGCGGCCAACGGTTAGTAGTCGAATGTGTTTGCCAGAGACGCGGCTATTGGCGTATTGGATGACTGAGAATCGTCGTATCTGTTTGGGGAGGGGACACTCGGGGGAGGGGACACTCGGGGGAGGGGACACTCGGGGGAGGGGACACTCGGGATAGCTATATGCGTCTTGGCTGATGGGGCGAGGGGTATCAATCCGATCCAGTTACAGAAGTGTTTTGTGTGATGGTGGTACCACCCCACCTATGCAACTGCGCCTGAATGGGGGAGGAGAAGGGGCATACCATGTCAGTATGCCCATGGTCTTAATTAAATGTAATTAGTTTCTTAAATATAATTGTAGACTACTTGCTCTTTACTACATACCAGGTCAGACACCATATCTCTCCCAAACGAGAGGTGTAGGTTTGTTTTTAATGCGGGATTGTCGGTCTTCGGGCCTGTCTCTGTTCTGGCTGAGGTATGTGAGAGTTGACACCTTGCCCTGGACCGAGTGTGTGTCACTCTGTCTGTTTCTGCTTTGAGCCTGGATCTTATCGCCGCGTCCCTCCCCTGACCTGGGTTTTGTCACCCTGATTCTGAACTGACCTGATGTCTCTGTCTCTGGTCCAGGTTCTGTCACTGTGACTGTGTCCCTCCCTGACCTGGTCCCGTCACCCTGTCACTGTCTGTCTGCCTGACCTGGTAATGTCTCTGTCTGTGTCTCTGACCTGGCTCTCTCACCCTGTCTCTGTCGCAGGCTCGGCCCCTCCCGTCGGCTCCAACCGCCCCCAGCCGCCGGTGGTGCTCAGTAAAAAGTCCGACCTGAAGCTGGGCTGGGGCAACAGCAGCTACCCCACCGGCGCCGGCATGGTCAACATGGGCAACACGTGCTACCTCAACTCCAGTCTCCAGGTCAGAGGCGGTGCCAGACGCCCTGAGGCGCTGATGCGAGGTTCGATGGAGACTGTTGGGCAGGCAGAGGGTTGGTGTGGGATACGACCTGCTATCTGGGAAATGCCAAACCAGCAGACAAGCGTTTGGTTCTACGAAATTGTTGTGTCTGGAAATGGTGTTTTGGGCAATTATGATGTGCTACATGCAGCTATCGCGGTTGTGTAACCGTACTTTACCATATACAGCTGGCTTTGCTCCACACTTCATAAGTCCCCCCTCATGACCCATACTACTCCATCGAACGCTGCTTCACACTTGATGACACCCCTTCCCCCAGACGAGACTCATCTCCTCAGGCTATTCCTGGTCATACCTTTTATGACCCTTTACCCTCTCTTCGATTCAGGCACTGTAATTTACGTCTCTAGTGAGTAGTAGCCCCCTCTCCCCACACACGCTGTTCCACGCCCCCCGGCCTGGTGCGCTGTCTAGTACCTCTTATCCCACTAACCTCCAATTCTTACCTCTTTCTTTTCCCCTAGGCTCTGTTCCACGCGCCCGGTCTGGTCCGCTGGCTGCTGGTAATGACCCCCTCTCTTATCCCCCAGGCGCTGTTCCACGCTCCCGGGCTGGTGCGCTGGCTGCTGGAGGACGGTCGACACGCTGCCCGCTGCTCGGGCGCCGACCAGTGTACCGTGTGCTCGATGGCGCGGACCCTCCGCTCCACACACCAGAGACAGGGAGGCGTCGTCAAACCCATACTCATCTACTCCAAACTGAAACGTACGTAACAGTGCCTAATGGGAGGCGTCGTCAAACCCATACTCATCTACTCCAAACTGAAACGTACGGGGCCAAAGGCGTTGTCAAACCCGTACTCGTCTAATGCAAACTGAAACGTACGTGGCTGAATGTATTGAGTGTCCCAATGTCCTACTCGAAACTGGAGTTACGTGGCTTTATTTATTTATTTATTTTTTAGGGGAGGATAGGGTATTGTTTTTCTTGGGGGGGGGGGGGGGCAGGCTGAATGTCTTGTGCTTCTTGAATTAAGGCATGCGTGTTGGTTTGGTAGCGATGGAGTGCCCCTTCCCTAACCGCGAGTAATATTCTTGTTTTCTTCTTTTTCTGTGGTAAATTGTGGCGATCATTTAAAACCTCAAGTTCTTGTTCCCAGACATGACACTTTGTTGGTATGTTACCTATCAGTTATTCTGAGGTGCAGGTTCATTGCTTTATCTCGTGTTAACCTGCCTTGGGGTAGGGCTGTGGGCTTTAACCCTCGCATGTGTGCGGCGTTTCCCAGCTTCTAATGTGTAGGGGGGGGGGGGGTCGGTTGGACCCCCCCCTTGCCGTTTCGCCCCTGATCGAGCTAGAGCTTCGCGGAAAAAACGAGCGTGTTGCCCGTGACGAGAGGAAGCCGATGATACCCAATTTTAAGGTCCTAGGTCATTGGTTGACCTTCCAGGTCAGGTCAATGATCCAAAGTCGGGAAAATCGGGACCTGTTAGAAAGTCGTAAAGTGTGGGTGCTAAGGGGTTTTTCGGGGTGCTGATCACGAATATCGTGTTAGTTTTGATCACAGATGATGTCTTGAAGCATTTAGACCAGGTCGGGTCAGGTCAGGTCAGGTCAACCAGTAGGCGTCGTGACGGGTATTCGTAGTACGTGTCAACCGCCTCTGACAGCTTCGTAACATGTTACGAAGTCACCAAAACTACTTCATAAATGTTCAAATGGTTGCTAAATTCGAATTCAGCTCCAAAAACTAGCCTAGAAACATGTAAAACTCGAAAAGTGACCCGAGGTCACCCGAGGTCACCAAAGGTCAATGACCTGACCTGACCCTCAGGTGACCTTGACACAGACGGGAGTAACATCAAATCACATGTTTGAACGTTTGAAACCACGAAAAGCTTGCAAACACGCGGCTAGTGCGAGCCGACATACGCGAAATCGCGATTCCGGCCAAACATGGTCTCGGAAAAGAGGTCACAGGTCAAAGGTCATTTGGGTCAGGGTCATGAAATTTTCAGGGTAGGTGTCAAATTGATCAATGCGAGGGTACTGAAAGTTTCGTCGCGATCGGCCGCTTTTTACGCGAGTTATTCGCGAAAAACCATGGGGTCCATCCGACCCCCCCCCCCTACACATGCGAGGGTTAAGGTGTGCTGAATGCATGCCTGTTGTTTCCTTTCACGCTACTTGCCTTGTCCTGCTGTTAGTTCCTTTCGTGTTGGCCAGCCTTGCCCAGTTGTGGAACGACTGACGTTTTCTGCTGTCTGCCATTCCAGTGATCTGCAAGCACTTCATCCACGGCCGCCAGGAGGATGCCCACGAGTTTGTGCGCCACCTGCTGGACAGCATGCAGCGCTGCCACCTGGCGGCGCTGCGCGCAACTAAGCTCGACAACCTCAGCAAGGAGACGACGCCGCTCAACCACCTGTTCGGCGGCTACCTGAAGACGCAGGGTACGTGAGCGCAGGGGGACAGCCGATTCGCTGCCGGCACCACTATCCGCCACCTTCTGAGTGGTGTGTCACCGTGGGCCTTATCTGAAAACGTCTTATAATTTACCCAGCTCATCAGTTTCTTCGATTAACTCGTCATACTAACATGCCGTACTTCATCCAGACCTAGTTCTTGCTGGTTCCTTCTATTCCTCGCATCTAGTCAGCCGTGTCTCGCTGTACTTCTGTTTCTTTTTTTTGTCATGGTCGCAAAATGACCATGCCGGTCGGCGCGCCAATATGTCCTCATTGGTAAACAAGAGCGCAGGGGATGTGCACACTAGGGGTGTCAGGAATTGTTGGTGTTTAGTTGCGGCTAAAAAGCGTATACTTAGGCAACAGCCGGTGGGTCTTGATTGACTGCTGGATCAGCGATCGGCCATTGGCCACCCAATGGTGCGGCACCCAACCCAACAGCTGTCAGCTGTCAGCTGCCAGCTGTCAGAGGGACCAAGCTGTCAGTCGGAGCGAGTCGAACAGCTGGGACTCGCTCTGAGTCTGACAAGGCGCGGGACAGCTGAAACACGCGAGCATGACCGTCCCACTCGAGTGAGGGCGAGATTTGTCAGTCAACGTACTTAACCCACTGAGCGCTGAGACCTTAGCCCTATCTAAAGACCAGTAACACATATTTGTCACTTTGCCATGGGGCAAAAGGAAGGTATATAGGCAAGATATCCCCAATATTGAAAATTATTGCATGTCACCTAATAAAAGGGTAGATTCACGATTGTGAGTGCTTGAGAGTTAAGTGCAAAAGATGCTAAATGAATACTATAACTTGTACAAAAACGGCCTGGCCCGGAAAACCTGCAAGCTGCAAATAGATTCACCATATCACAACCGATTTCGTCCAAAACATCATCTTGAAGAAGAAAAACAAATGTATTTTACCAAAGACGTTTGTCTCACCCTAATTATACGATATGCTCCTATCATCAAATGATGTATTCGAGGACCGAGGACAATCTGCGAGCGAGCGGCCCCAAGTGAAAGCTGGCGACGCGTACTCGCGAGAGTCCGGTGGCTGCCATATGGCAGGGGGGCCAGCGATCTGAGGCATCCACGTGCTAACGGCAGGTCTAACACCTTTAGGATACAGTAGCGGAAGCCGGTGAAGGAGAGAGACGGCAGTGCGGCAGCGGCGGCGAGGCTCTGGCTGTTGGGCGCCAGTCTAGAGACGTCAATCGGATACCAACTTTTTGGTATACCGATACCAAACCGATACCAACTTGGTATTTGGTATTTCAATGCTAATGTGTTTGGTATTTTGTTGGTATTATGCAATCTTACTAATCTATAAGAGGCTAAGAAATTGGTAAAAAGTTGGTATTTCCCTCATCTTTCAATTTTGGTTAGGTTTCAGTATTTTCCCTTGGTTTTGGTTGGTATTTGGTTTGGTATCGGTATTCCGATTTTCTGTAATTGACATCACTAGGCGCCACCCAACGTGCCGCCCAACAGCTGACATCTGCCAGTCTGACAGATGGATTTATTTAGGCCAACTTTGAAGGATATACGTCGAGTACGTTAAGTATAATATAGAGCCGCCGATGTTTGGCGAAAACGACCTCTGAGAAACTGGCCATGGAGACGCCTCTATGCAGAATACAAACTATAAAGAAACCAGCAATGCTCCCAATGAATGTTCAGGAAAAGTCACCAAATTTTACGTCGCCAGCTCAAGCTGTTTTTCGTACAGAGCAGAAAATCAGATGGGAGGCGAAACGTCTTTCCCATCAGTAATATGGTTCTAAGCGAAGGGTAACCTACTAATTGTAAGATAGATCCTTTTCTAGACGACTTCCATCTGCACCATGATGACAAAGTAGGTGAGAACGAAGCTGAAGAGGGCGAGCATGGTGCCCTTCTGCACGGTGAGCAGACCCCAGCCCTCGAAGGCGATTGGCGAGCGAGCTCTCTCCAGTAGCAGCAGCTGCAGCAGCAGCCTCTCGCAGCTGGAGGCGCGGTCAGCCGGCCAGCGTGCGGCCGCCAGCTGCTCGTGAAGCTGCTGGCCCTGCTGGATCAGCCGACTCCCGGCAGAGCTGAGCAGCAGCAGGCGCAGCACCACGGCCATCGTGAAGATGCCGAAGCCGTACACCTGGGCGCTGATGCTGGCACTCAGGTGATACATCAGCAGGCTGACGTAGCTGCCCAGGAGGAGGGTGACGGTGACACATGCGTGGAGACTCAGGATCGGTATGGAGAAGAAGGCGTTGGCTTCCGAGGACAGCTGGCGGATGGATGCGTAGGTCTCCGTCAGCCAGTCGAGAGTTTCTTGGTTTGTGTCAGTGTTCAGGTCTGAAGATCGGGGGTACGCATCCGGACGAGCTACTGCAGGGTCGATGGTAACGATCGGAGAAACCTTCGCTTCTCGAGGGTTGACACGGCGTGTTGAGTGGCTTACTGCAACCGTACCGCCGCTGTTGGTGTTTTTACCAGCGTGATCGGCATAATCTTCAGAATCCCAAAGGTCAGACGTTTCTATGTCGTTCTCGTTCTGTGAATGCTGATTGGTCGACAGCGTGTGTAAAGCACGTCTCTGATCGGAAAATCCCGTTACGTAGCGTCCAAGTCTTTCCTGGAACGTGGTTAGAGCATCAATGAAGCAGAACAGAACAACATCAAAGACCAGTTGCATCGTGATCGACATGACGCTGAATGCCAACTGCACTGTGAGCGTGACGAAATACCAGGGCGCGGACTGCAGCGCTGCGGGCACCCACCACTGGACGAGGTAGTTTGGGTGGTTTAGCTTCTCGGAGAGGAAGAACCCAGCCATCCAGCAGAACAGCGCGAAGGCCGATACGACGATCAGCGTGACCGAGCGACGCTGAAGGGATGTGAAGTCGGAGGATGTGCCTCGCGCTGAGGTGAGCCGCGCCACATCTGAGACATCCCGGAGCAGTCTATGCAGCCGGCGCCGGTTGTAGAGGAAGTATACCGTTAGCAGGGTGGAGTGGGCCACAGTGGCGCTGCTCGTCAGACTGTACAGCACGTCCGTGGCGCTGTGGAACACGGAGACCAGGTGGCCTGCGATGGCGGCGATGGAGAGCGCGTAGAGGGCCAGTGGGATCAGGCGCACGATGCTCCAGACGGCCGGCACGTCCTGGTGCTCGATGTGAATGGGGCTGAGCGTTAGGATGGAGCCGACCAGGAGCGTGGAGCGCAACACTGCGGAGTGGTCCCACATGCTGACTCCTTTGCAGAGACAAAACTTCCCGTCAAGTTCCCGAAATATGCCGTTTTAACTGCTGATATGATTCGCAAATCACAAATTGGAGCCGTTTGGTGTACGGATTGTTTTGCGAATTTATGACGAAGTGAGTCCTCGTCCTGTCGACTTTCCTTCGCAAAGTGACACCATCGAATGGTAAAGACCATGTAATGCGCCGACCTGAACCTATCGCCTCCCCCCAACCCACGCCTTCCCCTACCCCACAGGCCACACATATACGCGCGTTTTGTTTGCTGAGGACATGCTGCCTTGTATCCATGGGTCGGCTCGAGCCACTATTATTTTGCGCTACTCAGTATATTGCCCACGACCAGCTGCAGTAGATCGCAATAACTTCGCTTACCAACACTGTTTTCTCAACGATCGATTGCGACGTTTGTGTACCCCCTGACGAACTGACATGCTTGTCAAATGGCGCAAACATAGTGTGAAAGGTGTGTTCAGGTGACGGCCATGTTTCGTCGTGCTGTGGGTGCGCTATGTTGGCATCCAAGTCGTTACTGTTGAATGTGATGTTTGCATATGGTTTTTCAATCCATGAACACATGTCGGGCTGAGTTTACCCCTCGAACACGCCTCGCTGCAAAGCAATTATAATCATTTAAGCTTCCTACCTCCATGTTTGTCGTCAAATTCGGTGTCCTAAGCACGTCCTAAAGGACGTAGCAAAAAAAGTAAAAAAAAAAAACGGTGGTCTGGTCAGGTAACTAAATATATTATTTAGATTTTAACCAGACTATCGGCTTGTTTTGCGACCCCGTTGACCTTACCTGTGGCCATCGCTACTGGACAATATAATTAATTGTGTCGAATTGTTGATCCAAATAGGTACTCCCATTTAACGCTACCTTTCCGAGGAAAACCATAGGGTAGGTTTCCTGTCTTTGTTCAGCCGTTGACGTCAGCTCTGATGTCCTTGCCCAGCCCACGACGTCAGCGCTGATGTCTTTTAACCAGCCGGTGACGTCTGTGCTGATAATATACTCTGGTGTCGTTCCAGTTACGTGTCTGCTGATAACATACCCTGGTGTCGTTCATACTGTGACGTTCGTGCTGATAGCATACTCTGGTGTCGTTCTAGTGGCGTGCCTGCTGATAATCACTGTGGTGTCGTTCCAGTGACGTGTCTGCTGATAACTCACTCTGGTGTCGTTCATACTGTGACTGGTGCTGATAACATACTCTGTGATGTCGTTCCAGTGACGTGTCTGCTGATAACTCACTCTGGTGTCGTTCATACTGTGATGTTCGTGCTGATAACATGCTCTGGTGTCGTTCATACTGTGACGTTGGTGCTGATAACATACTCTGGTGTCGTTCCAGTGACGTGCCTGCTGATAACATTACTGGTGTCGTTCCAGTGACGTGCCTGCTGATAACATACTCTGATGTCGTTCATACTGTGACGTTGGTGCTGATAACATACTCTGGTGTCGTTCCAGTGACGTGCCTGCTGATAACATGCTCTGGTATCGTTGATACTGTGACGTTCGTGCTGATAACATACTCTGGTGTCGTTCATACTGTGACGTTGGTGCTGATAACATACTCTGGTGTCGTTCATACTGTGACGTTGGTGCTGATAACATACTCTGGTGTCGTTCCAGTGACGTGTCTGCTGATAACGTACTCTGGTGTCGTTCATCTGTGACGTTCGTGCTGATAACATACTCTGGTGTCGTTCCAGTGACGTGTCTGCGGTGCCAGCACGCGTCCCGCACGTTCCAGCACTTCCAGGACCTGCTGGTGGATGTCAGACAGGTGAGACGCTGGCGGTCCTTCCACTCCCCCCCAGAGCCGCTCCTCCAGAGTCGCTGCTTTATTTATCCAGAAACGTGATCCCGCTGTCCTTGGTCACGCAGTCCATGAGCTTGTCCGTGATCCTGCCTCCCGTGATCCTGCTGTCTTTGCTCCTCTCCGTGCCCCTGCCTTCTATAATCCTGCCTTCCGTGATACCGCTGCCCAATCCTGCCTTCCGTGATCTAGCCTTCCGTGATCTTGTCCGTCACCCTGCCTTCCGCGATCCTATAGTCTGTGATCGTGTTGCCCTTGCCCTCATTCATGTCATTCGTGATGCTACTGTCCGTGATACTGCAATCTTTGATCCAGTCCGTGACCTTGTTCGGGGTCCTATCCGTGTTCTGTGATGCTGCTCTCCGTGACCCTACTTGACCTTGCAATCCGCGATCCTGCCGTCCATAATTCCGTCATCTGTGATTCTTTCCATGGTCCTGTCATTCAAGAATTTGTATAAGATTGCTATCAATGATCGTGCCGTACGCGATCTTCGTGATTTTGTCAGGCAATCCTGCCATCCGTCCCTGAAGGTTCCCCTGAAATCTCGCCCTGCACTCTGCACAGGGCCCCACTAGCCTACGATGCTACCGACTTGCCATATCATCCACATGCAGCCTACCCTTCACGTACTCATTTTGTTGGCGTATTCAGCCATTGTAGCGTGTTTTCGTTACTAGTCTGCCTGTAACGTAGCGGTTGGTGCGTAAGCTACTGAATGTCTGTTAGCGAGCGGAAGTCTTATAAATGGCAACTATAGAAGCGTTTGAACTTAATGCACCAACGGGGAACCCCGCAAAACTAGCGGGGGATATGTTCAGAGGGTGTTCGGAAGAAGGTGTGAGTGAGACGCCCGATTTAGAATTAACGACGACCTCGGTTGAACTACGAGTATACCATAGTGGTTCAACCGACTAAATCACATCAAAACAACACCCTGAAATAGACCGGGTACCTTTGCATTTTGCAATGTGCGGCCAAAACGGCACCTTGCCTGAACTTTGCGAGAAGTTTTTGTGTTCTTGGATTGGATCAAAATAGCTTTCAGTTCAAAATAAGTTTCAGTTATTTCCATTCATAACTTCTTAATTAGCTAGTGAAGTTTAACTTCAGTTGCAAATATAATAGCGCTATGCTCCAAATAATTAGTGCTATGCTCTAATTAGTAACTGAAACGTTTCATCCCGATTAAACGACTATAATATATGTTGTATTTATTAATATATGTTATATATTATAAAGGGAAACATTTTCCTGGCTGCTGATCTCATCTGATAGGTAATGTCAAATTTTCAAGATGCTCAAAAATTATCTTTCAATGATCAAAAATTTTCAATGATCAAAATTATGTCACTATTCTGCGTCTGTCAAAGATGCAGGCTGACTTTGGATGAAATATGAACGTTAAAAGAAGCGTTACCCGTGTTCGGATCTGCTGCCTAATTGATTCGACCAGTAGTTAGTGATGGGTATATCGTTGTTTTTACAGTTTTTTGTTCCAGTTAGGTAGCATCCAATCGTTACCAAACACGTTTTGTTAAGAACATTATCTATTGAGGATGCTGACTTCAGTCATACACTGTAAATGCCTGATATAATCCAACTCTTTCAGAGCGTGTGCGAAGTTTAGCATCTCTGAAGCTCTTAAGTCCTACGTACCAGTTTTTGTCCCTTGGTCTTAGAGTCTAGGGCAATAAGGGGCGCTACACGACATGCCATCGCATTCACAGAGTCTATCTTGGGCTACAACGCGCGTTGAGTAGGTACCGATGAATGATACTCAAGCTTGTTCGCTCCGCCAGCATCGTGTCTTGCCATTCACACTGTTTCATTCAGCAGCGTTATTGGCTGGCAGTGACGCACGATACGTGTTCTGTCAGTCGTATGGATTCCTGGGGGAAGCTACCGCTCTTATAAACATGCCTGTGCTCTATTAGAATGACTTATACGACCCACTTCATAACCTGGGGTTGACTTATTTATACACTAGTGCGCTCTTTCGTACAGTAATCGTATATTTGGTAATTATTCGTGCCTTCTTTCTCACGCTTACTGTTTAGTTTGACCGTCTTGCAATGTGCTTGCATCCGTGCACCTGACTTTTTGAACTCTAGCATTATATCACATGCGGATACAATTTTGTCTTATTAACCAAGTTATTAATGAAGAAGTGCCTAATGATGAAGTTTAAACACTGAAATATTTCGGACACGATTTCCTTATGATCCAGTGCCATGCCCCACCCCTCCCAGCCCAGGCTATGGCTTCATTCACAGGTTCAATGCCTTCTGTCGCTACCCATTGTTGCCCATTCGTTTCATGTTATCACGGGTTTTTAACCACCTGCGATTGTTGCTGCGACTGCGTAATGTTCATGACTGTTAGAAAACACCCGCCAACTCGTTTTCTGTAGATCTTGGTGTCAAAACATCATTGAAATTCGCCCTGCTACTTACAGGCACTAGGCAGACTGGTTTTTGATTCACCTTTTTTGGATCGATTCAATCATTGATTCATTTGATTTTTGTTTGATTCAATCACCGTTTGATTCCTTCAAAAAATTTGGTGAATCGATTCCTTTTGATTCAGAGAATCAATATAAAAGGAATGCTTCACGTTTGATTCAGCCAAAAATTTTTTGAATGATTCTTTTTTGATTCAATTAAAAAATAAAATATACAAAATATCAGGGATAGTATTGTATTTGTTGTGTTCTTTTTGTTGTCATGAACCTAATGGCAGTAGTGTTAATATTTGTTGATAATGAACTATGTTCGTTCACTTCAATTTTTTTTTAAGTTCATGAATCATTAATTTTTTTTGATTCAATTAACCCTGATTCCCAATGCGTTTGATTCAATCATGGCCTGTGAATCAAACAATCCTGACGGTGAATCAAACCTTTTTGATTCAACAAATTTTGTTTGATTCAATCCAATCGATTCAATCACAGATGAATCAAACACCAGTCTGCTTACAGGAGTACCTAAGGTGCAACATCGTAAATTGTAGAAGGTTATATGGGGAAGGTTATTATTTGGGTGACCCATACCGGGCCATACCTGGGGATCAGCGAGCGATTTGTCCACTTTTGGGTCTCAGGAACCAGGCGCACGATCCCTACGTCAGATGCATAAATGCATTCGTACATAATCTAACGGTTTTGTGACGTGTATTTGCCATACGACTATTGTCTACAACCCTCTCTACCGTGTTGTTTATGTGTCTACCCGGACAGGTATCAACGGTGGACGACGCGCTGCACTTGTACTTCAAAAAAGAGCGGCTAGATGGCGCTGACTACAAATGCGAACGATGCCGAATGAAGGTGCCCGCCACAAAGAAGTTCTTCATCGACGAGGCGCCTTTGATATTGTGCATACAGCTGAAAAGGTATGTGGTTGATGTGGAATGTGTTATGGCAATACTATATATGGCCTTGATGGCAATATTCTTACGGAATGCCTGAGTGTTAACGGACGTGACTTACGGAATGCAATATTCTTACGGAGTGCTGAAATATGCGTGATATTAGGTGACTGTTGGGCTTTTCATAAACAGTTCGTTTTTAATGTTCGACCATCACTGTAAAAAAATCTTTTTGAACATTGTGCGAGAATTGCTAGCTGAATTACTGATAAAACTGGTTAGCGCACAATGCACAGCGGAGGTATTGTAGGCATCAATATTATTTTCCAAATAAGTTTTGAACATCGATGATGTACCGTTTTGTAAAACGCCGTGCGATGTATTAATTACTTCAGTTATAATTCTTGACAAGTCGTCTATTCATGTGGAGCTGTAAATATAGGCAAATACGGGCTGAGAGTATGGGAAATAGGAGCCAGGTAGAAATAATTTTGATAAAGGTTGATCGTCTCTGAAATCAATGTGCGCCAACCAGTACTCTCAGTTAGCAAGTCTCGTGCTGTGTTCAAAGCGACGATGACATTGAGGATCGAACTTAACCCGCGCCCGGCTGGGGGTCCTGGATTTCCACGCCCTGCTGGGGGGGAGGTGTTTGAACCCCCCCCCCCTTGTAACTCGGCTCCTGGGCCACGTAGCGATACGCGGAAGGCGGCGTTCGAAAGAGCGTAAAAAATAATGACGAAATCACTTCGGTCAATTTTTTGGTCAGGTCAAAGGTCAGGTCACCAGAGGTCATTGAAGGCAAAATTTCACCGATTTCCAGGTCGAATGTCGAAAATTTCCTAGAAGCCCACGCATAACTCGGGAACCAATAGAGCTACAGCGCCGCGGAAAAGTGCATTCGATAGCCCTATTAACGCCCTTTCTGAGTAATTCTCTCAGATTTGACCTAACGTCAACGGTTTTGCCTGCAGGGGGCAAAAACTGCAAAAATAGCCGATTTTTTCGGAAACAATTTTTCTGCAATAACTTTTGACCCAAGCCTTGTACGAGCTTACTTTTACCGGCATCGTGTTCCTCTCGTCAAGACGCATCGAATGAACTATAACTTGACCTTGAAAGGTCAACTTGAAAATTTGACCTCAGGTCAAGGTCATGACCTGACCGGAAAGGGTCATATTGCATATCAGTCGATCCGTATCGTCGAGCTGAACACATATAAGGCGTTTTCATCGCTCTAGCATGCCTTTATCAAAAGTTATTTGCGAAAAACTGTTAGATGCCATTCGTGACCTAAGATGACCTCAGGGCACAAACAAGGGTCACGGACACCATTTTCATGTTCAGTGTGTCTAAACCACTTGTAATTCGGTGTTTGGGAGTGTTTATAATGTCTTTCGTCCAAAAGAGGCGCATTTCAATTTTCTCCCATTGACTTATAATGGATGGGGAGGTCGCAAAATTGACCTGACCTTAGGTCATCGATATCAAAATTCTGAGATATACATTTTGTACATGCTATTGCTCTTAGCAATCGCTGAAAGTTTCAAAGCGATCGGTTACTCGGTGTAGCTATGACAGACATTGAAACTTTTTATGAGTTGAGGTCACTTCAAGTGACCTGGTGACCTGACCTTGAATGACCTTGGTCTGAAATTTTCACAACATGTGTAGAATTGATGTATGATAAGGTGCCGTTTTTTAGATATTTGCGAAAAACCACAAGGGGGGTGTTCAAACACCCCCCCCAGCAGGGCGCGGGTTAAAAAAACAACAAAAGAAAACGAACTATAGGGGCATTCCACGTCAAATCAAACACCGAAATCCGTCATCCCCTTCGATTTTTCTGAAAATTTGTAGGCAGACTGGGCATGGTTCAAAACTGAGTTACGTATAATATTTTCGAAATTTGATAACGTATCGCCGAGATATAGGTCATCGAATATAGCCAAAAATGCCACACATCATTTTTTTTAAATGCTTATAACTCTGGTTCTTTTTTCTGGTATCAAAATGATATTAACAGGGTCTTGTAGGCAATTGATAAGGCTTTGCTTTTTAATTATAAAATTAAATTGAAGTGACCTTGAAATGCATTTGACCTTGAATTAAAACAGAAAAATGTAAATAGCAAAAAACACGCCACCTTCGATTTGAGTATTTTTTACATATTATGTCCGTCACAATGTTCCTAACCATCTGTGAAAAAATTGGAGTGGGCCATTCATAACTTTCGCGGCAAACGCCGTTTTCATGCATCAACATCACGCAACCGCGCGTGACCTTGAAAGACAGAGTCAAGACATGCTTGCTTGTGTACACTTTCTGAAATGAATGATTGCTGATTAGTGATATCCCAAACTCTGCGAGAATGGAAATGCATAGTCATCGTAGTCAAGCATTCACGTTCCATTGTAAAAGTGTCTCAAGCAAACGGTATTTTGCGGTGAATTTTGAGCCGTGTGGAAATGCTTCATGAAATAAATTCAATGAAAACATTATCACGCAACGATATCTTCACGTCTTTTGATCTTCACTATACGAAAAAAACATACATTTTTGAGTATGTATGGGGAATTTCTAGTTAATCCGATAATAAATATGGCAGTTAGAGTCCTGCTAAGAGTAACATGTCGCCGGCTGAGGCGGGATCGGCCGACGCGGGAAACGCAGCAGTCATAATTTTGTGTTTACACGTTCATATTTCAATTGTTTACCAACCTATTTTCAGAATTCTTTCACCATAAGATTGCCTGTACATTTCTTAGTCTTCTCACAAAATTTGACGCGAATCGAACGTAATCAGCGGTAAGGAGCGCGATGTAAAGACGGAACCGTTCCGTTCCGTCCCGGCACAGTCTACAATTCAGGCGGCGCTTAGCGGTCGGCGCCGGCTGCCGAGTCGCCGCGTCGCCGCGGCGACAGGATGTTCACTTTACACCGCTATTACTAGAACAGTTGTGAACCGATTTTCTTATTGCTTGCACGATGAGATGTGCAATTCAATTCTGGAAGGTAGCCATAAGTAATTTCGCATCAATATTATGAGATATTGGCGAAAAACAGGAGGGGTGGGGCGAAATTCACTCTTCCCCCTCCACTGCGCGTGCTAACATACGTTTGCATATGTGCCATTTTCTTCAAAACTTATGAATGGCCCACTCTAATTTTTTCACAGGTTGTTAAGAATATGGTAGGCAATAAAATATATGAAAATGAGCCAAATCGAAGGTGGCGTGTTTTTTGCTATTTCAATTTTTGTGCTTAAGAACAGAGTTAAGCAAATTTCAAGGTCATATATTTAAGTCGATGCAATTCTAAACAAATGCTTAAGAAATTACCTAAACAGTAAGGTTTATTTCATTCAAATCAAACAAGTACAACCAAAGTTATGGTCGTTCAAAAATATAAAGATGCAACTTTTTGTAAAAATTTGATGCCCTTTATTTAGAAGACCTGTGGTCAGAATGTGCAAAAAACATCAATGTAATGTCCGGGGCGACACAGGAACTCGCTCACAAATTTATAATGAAATCGCTGATGGTAAGGTGCAAAACAGCCGATTTTTGTTCGATTTGACGTGGAATGCCCCTATAGCTATATGGTAAAAATATGTGTACTGCGTGGTGGTCAACACAGTTATATGTATTCGAGATGATCGTCAAAGTCTGACTACTGTGTTCGAGCTAATGCGAATATTTTGGTAAGATATGAACATTTCGCGATTATTGGTATAAAACCTTTTTATAGGTCGCCCAAGTAAATAAGGACAAGGTTCCTTTCAATGAAAGTGACATCCGATATTGCAGGGCAATGTTAGCTAGACGTGCTGAAAAGATGATACGCGATCAACATCATGCAAATTCATGTTAATCGCCAAACGTACACTGTATGCACTTGGATGTTGTTTACCAATAACTTATCAGTTAAAATATTCTATCCCAACAATTTCGAATTCATTGTGATCCTGGTTTCCATTTATGCTATATATATTTATAGTTCCTCATTCCTTAACCCATACTGAAAGTTGGAGCCTTCCTCTTGGCATTCGAATGCAGCAATGTACGGCCGAACTTAATGACATTCTTACTGCCTACACGCGTTCGGCTCGATTGTCCATTACCTGTAATTTACTGTTGGCTCAGTGATGATGAGCAAATCAATAGAGGCGCTGAGTCTCTTCAATATTGGAGGGTGGATTTGATCTGGGCCCAATCTTATAAACGCCGTGAAATGGATATGGCAGCACTCTAAGGCTGGATATATAGTACGCAATCTTATAAAGCTCTGTGAAATCGAAAACACGGCACGCTCTTTACGGTTTTGGTAACCGCCAGTTTTGGATGTGCCGTAGAATGATTTCAGCCGTGAGCAGCTGTGCACATCTCAAAACACAAACAATAATCAGCTGATTGCGGCATCGTCGGCACCTATTTCACGCCAGAATTTGTGGCGTACTCTGACGAGCTTTTCAGACAGTTTAATTCATTTAAGATAAATTCAATGTTTTTATGATATAAATATGCAATATTTTACGTTATGATATTTTTAAGATTAATACATCCTCCACATATTAACTCAGGTTCATTATAATGATGCTTAATATACAGACAATGATCAATTTCAAAATACGTATTTTCAGGAACTAAATGCACCCTAAAACACATAAAAACGAGTGTTCATCGTTATATGGATTTATTTTTCAAATTAAAAGGGGATTTTTAAGAGGATTTTAGCACCAGTAACCATCATAGATTTTCGGCAGCCACTGCATTATAGAATCGGTATGGGTCTTTAGCCTATTCTCACGTCTCACGTATGACACAAATAACGGGCACTTCATGGCTTCCGATTAGATATTTAAATTAATGATGATATACCTTAGTTTGTCAAAAAATTGTTAATTCCTACTCACTATTCGTATCTCCCCACTTTCTGTCTGGCACAGTTACGGATCAATGTGTTGTTTCTTCTTTTCCTGCATCTCGATCTGACTTCTGAGCCGAGTATTTTTCTTGATATGCTTTGATATGTAGACTGGGTTCTTCAATCTTTTGAGGAATTGCTTTTTAGCTTTAGGTTAGGTAACAGGTACCTATGCTTGAATAAGAAGGAAAATAAGCTGTAACTTGACCTAATTCAGCTCATGTACGTAGTCTTCCAATTTTAGTAGTTTATCTTCAAGAAGGAAAATGTCCAGAGCTTATGACAAGAAGGAAAATAAGCTATATCTTGAATTGATCCAGTTAATGTACGATATCCTGATGCTCAAATTGTAGGAGCTTCATTGTCAACGGCATTACTTAAATTACTGAAACAGTAGCCGAGCTATAATTAAATGACTATCTAAATAATTCTTTAACAAATTTATTGCAATGCCTTAACAGCAAATAAATGCAAATGATAAGTAGAAGAAACACTTTATTCACTCGAATTTCTGAGCGCGAGAATGCCCTCGCTGAAATTTATTTGGTCGGCAATCCACTTTTCAGGAGAATTCTTCAAGCATGTTTGTTTTTTCCATAGTTTGCTATCACGTTTTCCATAAATAACTTATTCATTACACATATGTGTGTCTCTAAAAGAAATAAATGCCCCATAAAAATTAAAACACATAACTTTTGCTGTTCGCAAACAGTACGCATAATTTCCAATAGCGACGGCGACAAGACATTGACCAATCACGTTGCGTGTTTCCTGCTGGCGTTGATTTGTACTGTGGGCAAAATGGCGTGAATAGAATTACCATACTATTCTCTTTATAAGATTGCGTGAATAGGGTGCCGTAAATAGAGTGGGGTGGAATGATAGTACGCCATTTGGTAGCACAACCTTTATAAGATTGGGCCCTGGAGCTGTTTCAAGTTATCGTGAGTTTCTAATGGCCAAATTATGTCATTGCGCTAACCACAATACCTTCCAATACGCTGCCATGCTGTCGCCGTTTCTCAATGGAGCGACGAGCCCAGGCATGCACCGTGCTGCGTTTCGGCACTCGGGGACCATTTGAATTACTTATGTAACTTATGTCGTAAGATTCAGATTCATATTCTTTATTTACGACAAATCCATGAAGCATGGGTTTTCATTGCCACTCGTCATCTTGATAAAATAAGAATGGTATAGGCTTATAGGCAGTATTGACAGGCCAAGATCCACTTACTCTACCCACAACCATTTTGCTCTCTCAGGAGATACCGTCGCAGGTAGCGCCTAAAGCCTCTCGCGTCGACACGGAACGGCAGACGATCGTAGTCTCTGACAGCGTCATAGCACAGGCGTCGACGTCCCGCCTCAGTGCGTATCCTGGGCAACGCATGGTGGCCTACAGTACGCGTCTGGTACGTGTGCTCTGCTGTGCGCCCTATCGTGCTCGCAATAGCTTCTGGTCTTCCTGTGGTGACGACAGAATGCACCATACAAATCCGATGATACCTGACAAGGTGGTGAATGTCCAGCCAATGCAAGTCGCGAAGTACATCGTGAATGTGATCAAATTTTCGGCGGCCGCTGATAACTCGGGCGCCAAAATTCAGCAGTTTTTGAATTCTGTTCAGATTTGTTTCGCCACAATTTCCGTACACTGACATGCAGTACCTAATGACCGAGTTCACGAGAGCTTGAACGATGATTGACAGAGAGTCGGCAGGCATGACATGCTTTGCATGCAACAACCCAATCAGTATCCCAGTGCATTTGGCGGTCAGATGATCTACGTGAGCTGTGAAGCTCATGTGGCTGTCCATAATAACTCCTAGATTTTTAACCAGGGTTGTGCTCGACTCAAAAACATTTGCCGACTCGACTCATCATTCAACTTCAGAAAGCTTTGACTCAACTCTGACTCAAACAAGGAGTCGATTTTTCCCTTGACTCGACTCATGACTCAAGCGGCTCATGAAAATATGAGTCGACTCAAACTTGACTCAAATTTTTTGTTGAGTCAAGCGAGTTTACTCAAAATTGACTCAGATAAAAAAGTTGTTGAGCGGGGGGGGGGGGGGTGAAAAAATATAGCAGCAGGACCAGGGCTAAGTTGTTAAGCGGGGGGGGGGGGGTGTAAAGCTTTTAGGAATATATTGTTTCTAGAAAGTTGAGTCAGCTGACTCATGTTCCTAAATGTTTGACTCAACTCAATGCAAAAAGTTGTTTTACTGACTCAACTCTGACTCAACTCAACACCTTAATATTTTTGTCCGACTCAACTCTGACTCAACTCAACAGCTCAACATTTTATCCGACTCAACTCAAATCTGACTCATTTGAGTCAGAGCTGAGTCAAATTTCTGACTCGACTCATGAGTCAAGCACAACCCTGTTTTTAACTACTCTCGAGTCAGGTATGATAGCGCCCATGACATTGATTGCGATTGGTGGCAGTCCTCGCAACATAGCTGGAGTACCAAGCACTAGAACCTGTGTTTTGTCCGCGTTATAGATAGTGCTCACTGCTCACGTGCCCTCGCGACGGGGATCCAAACAATATCACGTGCTGTAGGCTCTTTAGATAGTCCTGGGGTCCCTACATTGAGAATGTTGGGCTCGCTATGATCTTTGGCCCGTGGTGCTTGTAGGACCTCTGGCTCGCACGAATATGTGAAGTGGCTCACATGTTTGGATGTTTTGCTTTTCAGGTTCAGCCTGGGTGGAGGGAAGATCACCAAACACCTGGCGTTTCCCAACAAACTGAACGTGACCAGGTTCATGACGCGACCTCCGACACAGGGACAGGTGAGCACTAGGACCTTTGGTGAGACCTTGGGTGAGAGCCATTGAGCGCCAGGGAGCTAGGTGAGCGTTGGTGATGTACCTGTGATCCTGGTGTCATCAGTGACAGCCGGCCAGCGCTGGGTCCTTAGGTGAGTGATTGTTCTCATGGTGATCGCCAGTGAGTGCCGGTGAGTGCCGGTGAGGGCTGGTGAGCTTTGGGTCATTGGGTGTGAGACTGAGCGAGTGGTGGCGTCGGGCCGATATGTTAAATACGGTAATCGATACGGTAATGCATGCTCAGGCATCACATCACAACAGAATGACATACCTACGCAACAGCTAAGCCTTTATATTTTGTCTTCACATACGATAGCTCACGAATCCGTGTTTGTTCGTGTCTAAATCACTTGTAAAATGATAAGGATGATCAGTTCGAGTGTACAATGATTCATCCGCAAATTTGAATCGAAATAGGTTATGCACAATTTTATAAAATGCGGTATTTAGTTTGCGTTCACATTGATTTTGATGTATGGCTGATTTTGTGCGAAAGAGCACACAACATTGCGCTTCTTCCTTTCTGCAGGTCTTTATTAAATCTACTCAATAAACTCTCAGACAATTCGATTTCTGACACATGTCTCGGCTGGTTTTTCTCGTTCCACAGGTGGTCTACTCGCTGGTGTCCCTGATCAACCACATGGGTCCGTCCCAGAACTGCGGCCACTACACGGCCATGGCCAAGGCGGCCAACGGACAGGTGTACCTCTTCGACGACGCCTCGGTGAGTGACGAGGGGCTGTATCCCGCGCCGTAGGAACTGTGACAGTTAGTTACTCACCCCCTTCCCTGGGAGAAGCCTGTGCCAGAGTCGGCGGTCGCTTCAAGAACCCCACTCCAGAGACAGAGTCAACCTTCTCGTCTTTATGCTGCCCAAGTGGCTTCTCAGAGCCCTGGCGTTAGGTATTTTTCTCGCAGTTCTCCATGCAATCTTATTCCCTGCTTTATGGGCGCCGATGACCACTGTAGTCCGGGCGCCCAAAAACCCCCAATTCATCATCATCATCATTATTCCTTGCTTTCTTCTTTCCGTTTTTCCTCTCTCTCTCTCTCTCTCTCTCTCTCTCTCTCTCTCTCTCTCTCTCTCTCTCTCTCTCTCTCTCTCTCTCTCTCTCTCTCTCTCTCTCTCTCTCTCTCTCTCTCTCTCTCTCTCCCCTCTCTCTCTCCCTCTCTCTCTCTCTCTCTCTCTCTCTCCCTTTCTCTCCTCCCCCTCTCCCTCCTCTTCCTCCCTGTTCCTTCCTCTTCCTCCCGCACTCTCCCTGCCTTTACCATTCACTATGTAGCTATAAAATTAGCGATCATCTGTACTGCGACCACCCGAAAAACGCCTTTCTCAGTGACGAGCCAGTGTGGGACTCGTGTCTTTCTGTGTGCTTCTGCTCTCAGAGCTGGAGAATTGTCAAAATCCCAGGGGTGATTTTCAGCACCTGACGAGTGGCAACGTCAAACGCTTGCGTAATAAAGCGCATGTAGGAACGCTTCCCAACAGCATCACTGTCCTTGCGACTTATGCAAAACATTTTGTGTCTCAGATAAAATGTAAGCAGCCACTGGAACATGATAAGGTGGTAATCTTTGAATTTCAGGGGGTGCTCGAGCACCCCCAAAATCCCTAATTCTCCACCCGTCTGCTGTGTGTCCTGACACCCACCCACGCGGTAATGCGATCTCAGGCATCACATCAAAACACCCCCAGCTCTGGCCCGCCGGGAGTCCTGAGTCCCGTCGGCAGGCTTCTATGGGCCGTCTTGACTGTCAGGGAGTCGGTAATGGTTGTAATTATCCGCCGGGTTGGTGCCAGTGACGTCAAAAGTAAGCTGGGCCGCTGAGGCTGTGTTGTTATGAGTGATTGGGCTGGTCGCAGATGCTGATTACATGTTCGTTAGTGTTTGGCATTATATTGCATCACTCCCACTCAGACAAAGTCCTTACAAAACGCCCGGCACAGCCCGGCAACGGAGGCTACTCTTTTTATATAGAACTCGAAGGACTACAAATGGTAATTGTTAGTCGATTGACTGACGAAATCTGCCAATTACTTGGGTTGCACGAATCGTGACGTCAATGGTTATCAACAGAAGGTCAACGATAGTTTTTTTCTTCAGTACCTGTCCCTCTATTGGCTAAGCTTGCGTCCAACCATCGGTTCCTAGCGATCAAAGGGTTTTGATCTTGTTTACCAGGATTGGCGGATACCTATCGAACCTCAAAGGCATTCGTTTGGCTTATTCCGGGACGTTGTTAGCTCATTAGCGGGGTACCTTTAGTTGCGAAGTCCGCGAAGTTCTGTCTCGTCAATGTCGGATCACGGATACGCTGGCACAGATGATGTGTGGAGCTTTGAATGATGGGGACGGGAGGGCTAGGGTTGGTTTTTTTTTGCTTCCGTTATGAAAAGATTTACTGTGGCAGCCGTCCTCGTTATGTGAGATTCTAGGCATTGTAAAGCCATTTGATGTCCTATATAATATAGATTGTTCAGTTCCTCACAGAATCGCTATTAATTCAGTGTGTTGCGATCGTGATGGATGAACTGTTGATTTAGAAAACTTAAGCAGTTTTCTGCTGATGTATTCCAGCCTCGGCATGGTAAGGTAAAAAGGGCACGTCTGACTTCAAGAAAAGCTTCCGAGAAAGCAGCTTCTTCATGTGATACTAGGGTCGGTTAAGCATTACTAGGCCACCATATCTTGATACAAAATATCAACCTGCAGGCTTAATTGACTCTGCGCTGCATAAAACGCCTCCGTGTGGCTTTGGCTTTACGTGATTTGCTAATTAGGTTGGTTGGATGCTGTTTTTGCTGTGCTCGTACAGATTGGCTCGTTGATACTAATCGTCATTTTGTTTTGATCTCCGTTCAGTGGTTGCCATGGTTACAGCTGTTTTCCGACTTTTTTCCGTCGAATGCCGGCTGTTAACCTTCATCCGAGAGAGAACGTCTGTAGCTCCAGTTTCCAGCTACCAGGACATGCCACGGAACATGTGGTAAAAGCCTTGAAGACATTCCGTCTTTTACTTGGGTGGAGAATTGTGCTGGACTGTTGGTGCTAGAGCTCTCCCGATTCCACGCCGGCTTGGCTTTGGAGCCACAACAGACGGCTGAGGTCAAGGTCGCCGCTAGGGCGGTGGCGAATTAGCTGCGCCCGAGCTCCCACCGTTCCGCACAATTCTCCACCTATGGTCTTGCCAACTTCGTACTTTGCATGTTCTCTAGTTTTGAGCTAGCAAGATACGCCATTGACCATGTGGTGAAAGCCTGGACGACATTGCTTCTTTTCTCTACTTGGTTATTTGTATCCTGATTCCTGCAAGTCCTATTTTGCGGTTATCACTCTCAGTGTAACTGAGATCAAATTAGCCAGACTGCCGCCACGTGGAAAGGGGAGAGATGTTTTTCGCATATCCCGAGGCATTGGATGGTGACTGCTATTTCATTTGCGACACCCTTTGTCACGGTGCATATGCGTCTGTGCTTGTCGGTAATGGAGGGAAGCGGTATCAGATGAGCTGAGTGCCGCTGGAACTGGAGCCCACGTTTCTCGGTAGACATAAATGGAATATAAGATGAGACGCGGGCGTCAGAAAGGAGTGCGATGCACGCGCAAATCGCTGCAGTGGCAAATCGTGGAAGTGTTTGCATAGAGCTGGTAGTGTGAGATCAAAGCGCTTTGAAAGCGCTGTCGCCTGCTGGAAGCTGTGTGTAATCCAAGTAGCGCAGGAATTGTTATTGCCTTACTAGAGTCGGGCTTTGGAACGGAGTTGTTATTGCCTTACTAGAGTCGCGGGCTTTGGAACGGAGACGGTGTTACCGAAAAATGAGGAATTTTTATTTATTTTTTAGAGTTGCTTGAGCCGCGAATACAGAGAGAAGAGTACAAAGCCCAACTCTGAACTCAAGACTAATTTACTCCGGCAATACAAATAACACACTTGTTTACACAAGTTATGTACAAAAATTGAACACGAAGTGTAAAATTCGTAAAATGGATGCTTGCTTGCTCTACCTGAAGTGACTATGCTCTTAACTCAGTTATTGGCCGATTCCTGAGGCGATTTATTTGAATAAAATGGCTGATAAACGAACTATATACAGTTGCTTTATTCAAGTGTTCAATTCGATTAGAAAGTAAGCAAGGTAATAAATGTATATTTCATCTACATAGTAATGCTACCATGCTTTTTTAACCCTAACCCCAATAGGTGAATAAAATAAAACCCAGAATGCGTTACAATATTTGCAACAACAACAACAACAACAACAACAACAACAACAACAACAACAACAACAAACGAACGCATCTCCAACGGGGGGGGTACCGTGCCCCCTTTGATTTTGACATTTTAACATTAGCCCTATGGGCGTTGCATGGAAAGAATGGGACCAAAAGTCGGCAGTGCCCCCCCCCCCTTAGTTGAAGGTGTTCCGCCGCCACTGCGTATCTCCCTAATGCGGAAAGAAAACCTAGTTTGGGTCTTTTCCCATCATCATAAGAAAAACATTGGTTAAATTTAGGTAAAGCTGTGTTCGGGCTACATTGACAGTCCCACTTCCTCTCAGAAACAGCCTTTTCGGGACCTGCGAATGTCTGTATGCAGGGTTGTGCTCGACTCAAAAGAATTTGCCGACTCGACTCATCATTCAACTTCAGAGAGCCCTGACTCAACTCTGACTCAAACAAGGAGCTGATTTTTTCCCTTGACTCGACTCATGACTCAAGCGGCTCAATGAAAATATGAGTTGACTCAAACTTGACTCAACTTTTTGTTGAGTCAAGTGTGTTGACTCAAAGTTGACTCAGATAAAAAAGTTGTTGAGCGGGGGGGAGGAGAATCCGGGGCAGCAGGGCCAGGCCTAAGAGAATGGAAAGCTTTTCAAAAAAGATGAGTCAGCTGACTCATGTTCCTTGATGTTTTTTACTCAACTCAATGTCAAAAGTTATTTTACTGACTCAACTCTGACTCAACTCAACACCTTAATATTTTTGTCTGACTCAACTCTGACTCAACTCAACAGCTCAACATTTTATCCGACTCGACTCAAACCTGACTCATTTGAGTCAGAGTTGAGTCAAATTTTTGACTCGACTCATGAGTCAAGCACAACCCTGTCTGTATGCAAGTAGCGGATGCGCGAGTACCTACCAATCTGCTGCTATATTACCCAAAGCCTTAGGCTCAACCATATACCTCTGTATACAGAGGTCTATGGCTCGACACTCAGCACATTGTTGAGAAGTTTCGACTTAGTCTGTGCATGCTTATCAACTCCCTCATTCCCCGCTGGCGAAAGCCATATGACCCTCAAGACGTGCGATATAGTTCATAATTGAAATGCGAGCTCTCCGCATAAATTAATGCATACTGATGAAGCTCCATATCCTCTGCTGTATTATTTCGAAGCGCTGACGTGCACCGCAGACGTGACGCGTTTCCCTTCTGAAAGAGAGTAATCGAGACTTCTCGCTCACATCCTGATGCCCATTTATGCTCACTATCGTGTAGTGAGGTGATCCCGCCCGCATTTCCATTCAGTTATTGATATCAGTTGCGCACCGGAGTTATCAATATTTATATATGCATCATGACGCACGGCATTTGCAGGAGGCAGTTCTTGCAGAGTGGTCCCGCCCCTTAGTTGGCCTAAACTACGCAGCGATGCATACCGGGATACATGTGTATTGTGTACCTCTTGGTTGTTGCATTTTTCCTTCATCGTCTATGTCGATATTGTTTGCTCGCCGATTTTCCGATATTGATATTGTTCGATATTGTTTGGTAGTTTTGGATCCGTTGATTTGATAAAGTGGATAGGACACTGTCCATCTAATTGTCTCGACGTTAAATCGGTGAATACATTAGCATGATGCTCGTAAGTAGGCTCATCTTTGCCACGGGGTCAACTCAACTCACCTTTACCTACTCACCTTGGGGTAGGCCGCCAAAGTCGTATGCTACAAGTCTTGGCTGAGTGTCTGAATCAGGCTCTCTAAGGTATGCTATTGGGTAACTACGTTTGGACTCAATCTTAGGCTTAGAAAAGGAGCCAAGCATTTTTCGCGTAAACCACGCTGATTGTATGGCATTACGTTTTCAGCGCATTTCAGCGCTGTGTGAGGCTAATTAACATGAAAGAACGGAATGTAAACAGTAGCACCAAACAAAGACAGGAACAGATATTAAAGTTTCGGGCGTAAACTAATCTAAGGTCTCATCAAAGTTCTTGAGTATTTGTCCTAAAATGTTAGCCCGCTTGTTTATAAAGGAATGTACTTGATATGGCTTCTGTTTTACTCGGCTCTGTCGTATTTTTGAAAATCTACTTTACTTATTCGAAACATACGCCAGATCCTCCATTTAGTCGTTAAACCCATCAGGAAGGTCAATGTCATATCAGAGTTAGTTGATGATGATGATGTTCGTTGCTGGTCGGAAGCCGTGTTTCATTTTCTTACATCCGCCTTTTGTTCAGAGTTGTGCCTCCGTGTCCGATTTTCCAGAACCACAACATCCACACCCGCGCCTAGTGCTCTGAATACCTGCCAAACACGAAGCCTTAGTGTGTGTGTGCGCGCCGTGGTAGTAGGGTCTCGTCGTGTATGAACACTATGAAGTGACGTGGTTATTTCTTTGCCTGCTAACTCGAAAGGTAACGCTGTGATCTGCTTCCGGATCCTGGCGCCACGCCTAACGCGCACTAATTTAAAGCCGACAAAGCTTTGCTTCGAGTCGCCGGGGCATTAGCTGTGAGCTAACAAGGTGTTTTCGATGCATTCGTTCTATTCTGGTGAAGATTGGCTGAGGTACTGAATTTTTCGATCTGAACTTCCCGCGTTCTCAAGCTAGCAACGCAAAATTCGCTGATTATTTTCGCTGATTAAATTCGCGCCTTGGCTCTCAAATCTATTAGTCTGTTCGTTTGGTATGTAAACTACATAGTAGTAGCATTGTGTTTTCATTTGGCGACATTCAAGTGATTTGTACATTCTCTTACGGTAATTGAAAATGGAAAATGATTCAGATCAGCACAACACGGACATGGTTTGTTAACAGTTTTCTGGTGCAATCAGCAGAGTTGTGCGCCGAGTCGCAACACTCCACTGTAAACAAGCAATATTTCAATACACAATAAGCAGCTCAACCGATGAATTCGTCGGTCGTCCTTGCCAATGCCCGCTGCCGCTATGAAGCTGTTGCCTGCAGTAGCGGCGGAACACCTTCAATTAAGGGGGCACTGCCGACTTTTGGTCCCATTCCTTCCATGCAACGCCCATAGGGCTAATGGTAAAACGCCAAAATCAAAGGGGGGCACGGTGCCCCGGTGCCCTCCCCGTTCCGCCGCCTATGGTTGCCTGTTGGATTGATGTGTCCCCTCTCAGTGAAGCAACAGGGGATCAATTGGTGAGCAGCTTTCTCTACTGCACCCACTAGCGGCAGCTTACTTTGTTTGCATCTGCTTCTCTTAGCCTCTGCTTGGGCTATTTGACGGCCGCCTCGGCTTCCAATGGTGCATCTAAATTAACGCTGTCGCCAGTTCAAAATTAATCTCACAACGGCCACCTCCCACACCCTGGAGTGAATGCTGGAAAAGATATTGCAACGGGGATCTAAGTTTGTTTGGAAGAAGGACAGTGACTGGATGCTATATAGGTCTGTGGAAAATTTTGCCGAGTTCGCAGAGAGCAGGGCGGAACAAACCGAATTGGAACGGATCGCTCAGCGATACATGTGTAGGTATAGGTTTCTGTTGGGATGTGGGAAGTCGAGATCAAACACACGTAATGATATAATTGTTGGGAACAGTGTAAATAATTTTCAAAGTCGTAATTTAGTGCCGCGCTAAAGCGCTTGAAATATGATCGTGTCAAAATGTGTTACGTCCGCCTGCGAATCTTAGCACAAATTCACAAAAGCGGGATTGCCTGTATGTCCTTGGTAAGTTGCCCAGCCCAAAGCCGAGTAAGGAATTGCTGTCGGTTTCAAGATTAGATTTTCTACGACCAGCAAGCAATACGATACAGTGCGTAACTTCTACCTGTTTCTATTATCGCATTGTGCAACTGCTAACACCGTATGCTTAGCCTGCTAACAGCTTATCCGTTGCCAGGAAAGAAGTTCGTGTAGCCGTGCCAATGAACTGCATTCGTGTGCAGTGAACGCTTATATAAAATGTTGTTTTAAGCTTTGTGACGCCGGCTGCTTGGTCTTAATCGCAATAACAACGTACATTCCTAATTAAAGTCGTACGGAAGTTTACAACACCCTTGGAAGTTAAACTGGAGTCGCTGTCGGCTTACAGTTCAAATGTCGTGCTAGACGGGCAGCGTTATCCAGCACCTACCTGGCAACTGGCAGCTCGGCAACAGGTCGCCTGTTGCCAGGTGACGCCGGTTCAGAGCTGCCAAATGCTGCCAGATCCTGTGAGTCGCTGCCGGCCGTTGTCTTGCGAGCAGGAAATGCGACAATATCGCCAGCAAGTTCACCTAATTTGGCTTGAGGATAACAGGCATGCCGTGTTGCTGTACATTACCTTTTTTATTTCTGACGCATTACTCTGTTTTGGAGCGTGCTTTATGAACAGGATTTACGTAATTTCATGTGTTATATCGGGTATGAATTTCAGGAAGTGCGCTCCCGAATTCGTGTGACTGAGCCTTACCTGCCCCCCCGCCCGGAAAAAAAACAAACATTTGGCATGCCATTCACGGTTCAAAACTACGAGACTACATTTTATAGTATATTGTATTGCATTGGATTGTGTATTGTATTGTATTTTAAGGATAGTGGTGATCTCAAATTTTAGTTGATAGATTGTAAAATTAGATGTCGATTTTAGCGCTATTGCGTCGTATGAGTATAAGTATGATCTGACAAGCGCTGCAACAAATTTCACTTTACCTACCAGACTTAAAGCAGCATGGACTTTCGAAATTGAAGACAAATACTATGCAGTATTTGGTCCAGTTCCTCTATCATCCTCTGAAGACCAGTGTAGGTTTTACCCTACTCCATTTTTAAGGCTGATTTCAAGCGCTTTGGACGCATTGGAGTTATAGTTTTGTGATGCCTTTGTTACCACCAACGCCTTTATTCGGCCTTTTCTTTCTCTGTATACGAGTAATAGTTAGGAACAAATTTGTGTTCCATTCTCTCGTATGTTTTGTATGGGTTATAACGAGTCAGTGAAACGTGGTGTTGAGTGTTGAGTGATGTTTGTGCATCCTTTTGTGTTTATTTTTCTTGCACTATCCTTATGCGGCCCTGGCACTATCCCAGCTCTCAAGTTGGGTTGAGGTGTTCAAAACACACGCATTTTTGTCTGCAATGTGGCGTTATCTTGCCTTTAATTGATATTTGAAACTTCATTGTATTAGTGCAACATAATATGGGTGGCATATCACCTATTATCGTCAAGTTACAGCATAATTTGGAAACATAATAGGCCATTTTCCATCTAATTTCTTCCAGAAAATGATATTCACACTGACATTTTTACTCAAACAGTGTCCCTTTCGCAAGTGTTGTTCAATTGTTCTAACACATTATTACATTAAATGCGGCGATTGGCTGCATTCTGGAAATTATTGACATTCGGTATGGTAATATGATCTTCCATTTGGTGTTTGGTCTTCCTTTTCCGCTCTCGTTCCCCGTTTCTTAATCCTGGTCTGTAGCTGTGTGCGAGTCTATGTCCATGACGTCACCCTCCTCGTCCGCAGGTGCGTATGACGTCACTGAGCAACATGCTGTCCACCAATGCCTACGTGCTGATGTACGAGATGACGGGATCCACGCGACAGCTGCTGCTCGGCCACTCGCCAGGTGAGGCATGTCAGGAGGTGAAACTCATTGTACATTGTATATCATACGCCAGGTGAGCTAAAGGAATAGGTAGGTGAGGCTCATTGTATAGCATACGCCAGGTGAGCTAAAGCAATAGGTAGGTGAGGCTCATTGTGTAATGTATAGCACACGCCAGGAGAGTTATAGGAGTAGGTAGGTGAGGCTCATTGTATAGCACACGCCAGGTGAGTTATAGGAGTAGGTAGGTGAGGCTCATTGTATAGCACACGCCAGGTGAGTTTTTTTCTGTAGCTCTTAAAGACTCGTCCAACGCTACTCGTTCTATATCGGTAACCATAGACATCTCAATGATCTGCTTAACTTTCCGACCAAGTTGGTCTGTAATGCTATTCGCCTGTCAATGAAGGTATAACTGTTAAACATGCTGTATCCAACGGAGCCCGATCGTCTCTCGGTATTAGATCCGACACGGATGCGCCGTTCTCGGTTTGGCTGATAGGATTAGTGTTTTCGTCACCGGGCGCCTCTGCGTCGCTGGTTCCGGCTCTGTTGCTAACTCTGGTCTGTATCTACCACCCGGGGCGCCCGGCAGCGGTGCTCCGCCTCTGTGTCCCGGCCTAGGTAACTCAGGGCGGACGTTGCCGCTCGTACAAAGTTGACCAGAGCTCACGTTCTTTGCCGCCGCCAAGGACTTAGGTACCATTGCTACACGGCCCAACGACAGTGTCGCCTGGGTGGTGTTTTCGTTGTTTATTTTTGTCGCAAAGTTAGGTTCAAGCTCACATTCGTTTATATGTTTGCCTTCTAACGTGTTTAACGTGTTGGAAAAGTTCGACGGAAGTTTCTCAGCGAGGTAATGCAGAAGTATTTCTGGTTGTAAAAAGAATCGTCTCGGATAATGTTACCGGCGATATGCGACTTTCAGTCGCGCTTTTCAGACTCCCATTTACCCAAATTCAGGTTTTATCAGCTTGCTCTTCTGGCATTGCAGCTGGCGGCGAATGATATCAGTTCTTCTATATAGTTTACATGCGTGACATTACACCAAAGTCTCGCCTGACGCTGTCTTCTTCCTTTCACAGGAGCGCCGGCCACAGAGACGAATCGCGCGGCCTCGCCGCCGCCCCCTCCCCCGCCCCCTCCCCCGCCGCCTGTCCGGGCCCCGTCAGTTCCAGCCGCGACCACCCCGCTACAGCCGAACGCCGCGCTGACCAACGCCGCCAACAGGTGGGAACTAGCCCCTCAGGCGTGGTAGGGTGGGAACTGGCTCCTCACACGTGGTAGGGTGGGAACTAGCTCCTTAGACGTGGTAGGGTGGGAACTGGCTCCTCACACGTGGTAGGGTGGGAACTGGCTCCTCACACGTGGTAGGGTGGGAACTAGCTCATCAGGCGTGGTAGGGTGGGAACTAGCTCCTCACACGTGGTAGGGTGGGAACTAGCTCATCAGGCGTGGTAGGGTGGGAACTAGCTCCTCACACGTGGTAGGGTGGGAACTAGCTCATCAGGCGTGGTAGGGTGGGAACTAGCTCCTCACACGTGGTAGGGTGGGAACTAGCTCATCAGGCGTGGTAGGGTGGGAACTAGCTCCTCAGGCGTGGTAGGGTGGGAACTAGCTCCTCACACGTGGTAGGGTGGGAACTAGCTCATCAGGCGTGGTAGGGTGGGAACTAGCTCCTCACACGTGGTAGGGTGGGAACTAGCTCATCAGGCGTGGTAGGGTGGGAACTAGCTCCTCACACGTGGTAGGGTGGGAACTAGCTCATCAGGCGTGGTAGGGTGGGAACTAGCTCCTCACACGTGGTAGGGTGGGAACTAGCTCCTCACACGTGGTAGGGTGGGAACTAGCTCCTCACACGTGGTAGGGTGGGAACTAGCTCCTCACACGTGGTAGGGTGGGAACTAGCTCATCAGGCGTGGTAGGGTGGGAACTAGCTCCTCACACGTGGTAGGGTGGGAACTAGCTCATCAGGCGTGGTAGGGTGGGAACTAGCTCCTCACACGTGGTAGGGTGGGAACTAGCTCCTCACACGTGGTAGGGTGGGAACTAGCTCCTCACACGTGGTAGGGTGGGAACTAGCTCATCACACGTGTCACGCACGGCGGGTGTGAGCTTTGTAGACAGGGTAGACCGCAGGGCGGACGGGCTGTCCCGCACCGCAGGGGCAATCGGACAGTTTTCTTCCTCGTGTTTTAGTTATTATGTGACCTCATCAGCAATTGGGTGCCACCCCGATGATGATGTGTTAATGAACTAAACTAAACCAAGCTGAAGAAACTTCTTTCGAGGAGTATCATATGCGTAGGATTAGATCTTTGAATGTCTCGTTTGCAAGTATTTTATTTATTGTTTCTGATATCTAGCAGAAAGCGAGACCACTGCTGCTGGTAGGCATTGCATCAGATTTGCCGTTTGCTTTTCCTACCGTTGGCTGTAGGCATTCAGACGAGTGGCCAGATACTTGACTAATGTTGCCGCTTATGATGCCGCTTTCCGGTGCCACGCTATATTAATGAAGCACTAACAGGAACGGAAGTACGCATACGGTGACTGTGCGGCACTAGAAAGGGGCAACTGGACCCAACTTGGACAGGCTCCGTTTCTTATTTGCATCATTTGCTTATACATGCATTCCTAGAGACCCAGCAGCAATGAAAATGCAACGTTGATGATGAAACGTAGGAATTGCAGAAGTGCTTGTAAAAGAACATTTCCTGCCAGATGAATGAAGTTAATTTGGCGCCTTCAATGCTTTTTTGAACTAGCTGGATATCATTTTCTTTAACGAATCTCATGTAGTTGGGTATATGCTCTCTGGAAGAAGCATGCATTGAAGCATTGCACATCTAACTATTTTTGCTGGCTCATTCCGATGTGATCCGATGTGATTGGTTTCATTACAGCTCTTGGTGGTTTCGTTTTACCCCCATAATCATTATCTAGGGACGGTTAAGATAGAATAATTTCCTGATTGGATGCCTGATACGCCACTTAGGTTGTGATAGCTTGTGTTTGGAGAAAAGAAAGCGGTAATTTGGATACGTGAGACCTTGAAGTGGATGCAGGAGATCTTACGTAAAGAGCGTCAGAGGCGTGTTTCCGTTACGCGCCCACGACGTGCACCGCTTCATGATAGTTCAGTTTACTAAAAGCAGTTCTGTAAGAGATAAATCGCTGGCTGCTTTTTCTTTTCGTAATGTCGCCCCTGAATTTTGTCATCCACCAAAAAAAAAAACCACAATAACTTGATGTGAAAGATGATACATATACCAGCGTAACTGATATGTTTTCAAATCTGCTCTCATTTTTTCTTCTCGTGGCTAGTTAGCTCGTGGCGTGGCTAACTTTTAGAAGACTTGTGGGTATAAGATTATTGGCGGTCGGCGATTTTCCAGCTGCTAAGCTCGGCCTCTGATCCTTCATCTGATGGACTAAAATGCGTGAAAACCATTTTGCACTTGATAGCCGTTTCGTGTAGCTGAATTATGTCCTGCTAAATCCTATTTACACAATTAGGCATAAGATTGGGCTGAACTTCACGGCGCTCAGTCGGCGGGCCAGGACTTCCCGAAACGGGCACCATCTGATAAATGTGCCGTCATTTCCTTCGAGCAATCATGACGCGTGCGCGTACCTAGTTCTACAACGTAGGTATATAAAAAAATGGATTCCGTGCCCGTTAAACTCCAGATCACAATGCTTAGAGTAAAACTTGCACTTCATTCATTTTTTTTTGTAACATCTTCACCTAATCAAACATATTTCCTTTTTTCTTATCATAGCATACCACGATTTGAATGTCGTACCCAACTGCCATCCGTGATCCACCCGTACCCTCTCAGTAATTCTCCTCCCTTCCCTCCCCATCGCCCACCACCCTCCCCAGAGACCTGCCATTAGCTACCCGCCCTTTCCCGGGACGTGACGCGGCCGACCCCGATCGGCTGATTATAGCCACGTTACGCAGACCTGCCCCGATCAGGTGGGCTAACCGAAATGGATGGGCACGCAAATAGGACCTCCAGCCCACGAGGTACGACCATCGCGCGCTGGCCGGGGACTGGGTGTGATCGTGACCTGTGGCCGCCCTGATTTCGTGGCATGTTTTCAGCAGTTTGTTATTTGTATGCTTTCTAGCCGTGTGTTTTTCTTATTTAAACGTTAAAACTTAACATAAGTCAAACGCAGTTATTTTTTGTTAAAAGCGAGAACATGACCTTTCTTAGCTCTTAAGAAGAACTTATTTAACCCTCGCCGGACCTATTGGTTTTCTACATACGCGCCGGCCGAGGGGGGGGGGGCGGGTACGACCCCCCCCCCCTCGCCGTTTCGCCCCTGGTGGAGCTAGCGCGTCGCGGAAAAAACGAGCGTGTGCGCCGTTACGAGACGCAGAGATTGGTACCCGATTTTAAGGTCCTAGGTCAACCGGTGACCTCTGAGGTCAGGTCAAGTGCCCCAAGGTACGGTTCCGTTTTTGGTGAATAACTTCGCAAAAAACGGCCGCAGAGCGCCGATTTTGGCAGCATCGTGTTCGTCTTGCTCAGGCGCGTCGAATGATATACTTTTTGTCCGGGTCAGGTCAACTTGGGGTGTTGACCTCAGGTCAAGGTCAGGTCAGCACCCCCAGGTCACGAAGTTGGTCGAAAGAGGTCATGTCGCATATCATTCGATTCGGCAGGTCTTCCTGAGTCCATTGGTGGCTTTCCCGACTCGCTAGCTCAATTTGATCAAGAGTTATTGACGAAAAACTAATATGACCTTGATGGTCACGCAAGGTCAACATTGCAAAAGTGACGCATCTAACCTTGCAAGGAGTGCATCAAATCACGATTCTGTGTGCTTGAGATAGTTGGAGATCGTTCCCGGCGCCAGAATAGCAGTTTGAATTTTTCCCCATTGACTTATAATGGTGAGGTCACGAAGATGACCTGACCTCATATGACCTTTAGGAAAAATCCGAGATATACAAGTTGTGGGACTCATAATGGATACTAGATCCTGCAAGTTTCAATTCCCTGTGACATCTCCTCTGGCAGTGAGGGCGTTGCGAAGTTGCGACATCTGAAGACCGTGCAGAGGTTCACTTATGACGTCATAGGTCAGTGACCTGACCTGACCCAAAAATGCGGTTGGTGTCAAAAGATCCGGCTTGGATCAAAGGTCAGGTATGCCAAGTTTCAGCTCTCTATCGCCAGCGTGTTCGGAGCTATCGCGAAAAAACCCTATGGGGGGGGGGGCGGCACCCGCCCCCCCCCCCTCGGCCGGCGAGGGTTAATCTTCTGTGTATAATCTTTGAAACACAATTGGGGAATGGGGCACTGATCAGATATGTTCGTGTGTAAAAATCATCAATGACTTACATCACCATACAAGCCTATGATGAACTTCCCTTGACGTACACTTACTGAAACTACCGAAGATGGCGCTGTTGATATGAAATAAAAGCGGTTTATCTTCTTAAAAAGCTGAAACTCTGCTTGAGGCTCATGATGAATAATAATAATATAAGAATAACCAGTAACCTCATAATATAAATCAGAAATAGGAGCCAAAAGGTTATATTTAAAGTTATCGAATATTTCGCTCCTGGAGCTTCGTCAGCGATAATTACCGCTGACGTAATTATCGCTGACGAAGCTCCAGGAGCGAAATATTCGATAACTTTAAATATAACCTTTTGGCTCCTATTTCTGATTTATATTATGAGGTTACTGGTTATTCTTATATTATTATTAAAAGCGGTTTATTACCTACTTTGGTGCTAGGCACGTCTTTTTTTGTGCGTGTGTATAAAAAATAGGGCTGTTATAAGAAATATCATATATAACTGTTATAATATTAAAAATAGGGATTGCTCCATTTGCTTATTTCCTTCAAGCCACACATGTTTTATTGCACAAAGACAACCGTGAATAGCACTGTGAACTCAAATCGCTGCTGTTCAACTTAAGAAGTGTGGAACGCAGTTTGAAGCATGTTTATTATTTGGAGGGATTGAGAAGGAGACAAATCATGGTAGAGCTTCACTTGTCCCGCCCGGGTCCTGCCGCGCCATGTAATGTGAGCATAAGGTCAATACTGTCAATAGTTAGTTTCAATCAATAGCTGAGAAACTACTGAAGACATTATCTAAGTGCTGGTATAACGACTGTTTTAGGCAAAACTCCGGAGGAAGATATCAGCGGCTAGGTATGGGTGGACCAAAAAGGATGGAAACATTTTGAACT